GGGGTGGAAGGGGTAACTCTGGCCAGATAGTAAGTCTTGTTGTTTAGATTAATTTTTTTCTTCCACAGTAAAAAAAAAATGAGTGCAGTTTACTCTAGGGGTGGTATTACATGTGAGATATAGAAAAAAATAAACATTTTTGTCAAAACCCTCTCCAACAATTCTACATCAGCTATCTAAACACAAATAGGGTATTTATACAGGAATGAAAATAACAATACTAATTAAACAACAATAATCTTTTAAAACCGATGGCAACGTGAATTGAGTATCAGGGTAAATTAATTCACAATTCAGGGATTTGAATAGCTCTTCTTCCAGTGATAACTGGTGATGTTTTTAGGTGGTGGAGCGCTAGTCTCCACCCCTTGATGCTGACCATGCCTTTTACTGTAAACCCCACCCTCAACTAACCTGTTAGATTGTGCCGATTTAACGACAGGTATATTTACACCATCATTTTATCTATATTATAGAATACACAGTATATACTATCATTTATTAAGCCTATTAAATGGAGGTGTAATATTGGGCTTACAATGCCACCTAGAGGCCAATACAGAATTTATTAAGTATATTTTATTTATTAAATGTAAACAAAAAAAAAAAATTTAAATCTCTTTCTACACTTTAGGCACCTTATAGCGTACTACTGGTACTATATTTCGCATGACACTTAGCCAACCTTTTAGCCATGTCACTGAAAATGCAGTCAGCAAGTATTGAAGGTCTAAAAATGAGAAGGGAATTACGATTTTTATTTTTAACACTATTTTACGATGACAGAGTCCTACCTGCCAGTGTTTTCAGCGGCCGGGGAAAGCTGGTGGTGGTGAGGAGTTTGCCAAGTTTGGATTCAGTAAAGAAAATGATTGTCATTGTGGTCAAAATTCTGTCATTTTCTGTGTTTAGCGAATAACCACATAGCCAATTGGAAGTATTGCTGACTGGGAGAATTTTTCCAGTCCTTAAATTTGGAATTCACTTTGAATATATATATTCTTTACTTTTGTTGTGCCTTAAAAGGTGCAGAGATGTCAATAAGACATGTCAGAAACAGTAAATAAAATGGTTCATAGTGTGAAAAACAGGACATATCACCAATGCAGCATATAGTAGTTTGGGTATTGTCATCAAGTAATATGTGATAACTACTGTATGAGGGAGACGTCTGCTTGTAGTAAACAGAGTAGGCAGGGAGGGTATCAAACTCAGCAACATGGATATAGCTACAGTTTACAGAGGCAGATTAATTTAAGAAACAATAAAACGTAACATGTGGTAGCTTTCTTCATGGTGGCGAATAGCTTAATCCTGGTGCAGCTACTCTTAGGATGAATGGAGTTATCCCGTCTACAGACCATGAAGGATGATATGTTATGGAGATGGAGCCCTCAGGTAATCCCAGCTACAATAGTAGATGATGCGCCTCGGAAAGGTGAGTAAGTAAGTGGTCTTGCCCCCTTTTTCTACTAGGAGCGGGTGTATTCCCCATTTGTAGGGCACCCTGTGTGTCTGCAAGTGCTGGGTAAGTTGTCAGAGAGATTGTTTTCAGGCAATGGTGTGGTGGGATACATCCCTGTAGAAGGTAAGTTGGTGGCCTTCAAATGCTGTATAGGAGTGTTACAAACTGCCATTTGTAACTGGCCCTTTAAATGGCAAATTGCCTTGCTTCCCTGGGTTGTGGAGAAGCCTATTTGCCAGCCTCCTTCCGCATGACTATGGCCCCTGGGAGATTGTGAAAACTTATGGACTTTTATTGGGTGTGTATGGCCCTTTAAGACAGTCGGTGGGCATATTGGGGCTTATGGGCTTTTTATGGGACTGGTGCTGGCCCTTTAAGCACCTTTTTGGGGCATAGGGAAAATTGGGACACTGCCCCTTTAAGACGGTGTCCCCAGACTTGTTTGGGACACTGCCCCTTTAAGACGGTGTCCCCAGTGTCCCCAGACCAGGTTAAAACCCTTTGTTCCTAGCTATTTCCCACTTGGTTCAGTAAATGGGGCTTACTGAACCAAGTACCACACAGGCGGACCACCTGTATTGGGAGTGTGTCGGCAATTTACCTCCCAGAAGCTGCGGTTAACCGCAGCTTAATTGACAATGCTGTGTGGCCTTCGTACGTTTGCCGAACACGTGGCGACGGCCATCTTTGTTCATTCGCACAAGGTCAGCGGTATGTGTAGCCAAATTCATGGAACTAAAATCGGCTACACATTTGCGCGAACACCGCTGAGCCTTACCTTCTCCCACAAGGATTTTACAGCCACAGAGTAAGTCCCATTCGGCGATGGGACTTAGTCATTTTTTCAGCCTGAAATAGACCGACCGCACAGCCCAAATCTATGGAACTGTTTTGGGCAGGAAAATGTGCTTGCGGTCGATCATAAAGGGACCTCCAGCTAACTTTTTATCCACTGGATGGATTTGGCTGATTTTTGGTTATGTTTATATTTGAAGGTTGCTGATTCTAAATATGTCATTTATGGAGATTGGATGTGTAGTTTTAAAGTTACAGTGTATGGATAAAAACTGTATTTTTCCTGCCTGTGTTAATTATGTTAAACCATTGTGTACCATAATTAGATTACAGGCAGAGGGGAGGATTTTTGTATGTAATTGCTGGGAGTGTTTCTGTAATGTACGTGTATGATTGGTTGTTTTGTAAAACCCTGTGCGTGGTCCTATCTAAGGGAAACCTGCATAAAAGAAGGTTCTTTTGGTGCCAATAAACAGAATGACTTGACCCTCTAACTTGCAGCCTTGACTCATGTTTGTAGGGGACAGCTATAATCACTACAGGGATTGCTATGCTCTTCATACTCCCTTAGCCACTGAGCTCTTGTAAGAGCTCTTGTTCCTGATTCTGCTTCGCTCTACAGAAGGAAGAGGTTCAGCTACTGGAACCTGGAGCCTGGTCGTAGGTCCAGGGTGGATAGCAGCGAGATCCTAGCCCAGCAGCGGCGGTTCGTGGAGTCTGCAGTACTTATGGTGTCTACGCAGTAGTTATGGTGTCTACGGTGCTGATGGCCCTTTGGTGAGCGCTAGGAGCATCCTTTCTATGGTCCAACTTCCAGCCAGCCTGGAGGCAACCGTAACAAGGAGTATCTCTGGTCGCCGCCAGAATGGTACCTCTGTCAGAGTCCTGACGAGTTTAACAAGGATGTCTCTGGATGTCTATGGAGGGGGCTTTTGGGGCCTCATGCAATTGAAAACAATGGTCCATTATGACCTGTTTTGCTTGTTTTGGGGTCAACAATGTGGAGAGGAGCCGTCAAATAAAATGTGGCAGCTCTTAGGTGGTTATGGTCTCAGGGACCCCCTGATTCTCACATTTCTTGCCTTAATCCTGTCTTCCAGGACATCCATATGATTGAGCATGTCAGAGTCTCTCTTTTATAGTGTGCAGAGGGCAGCGTCCGTGGCTCTTTCTGCCACCTTCGTGATGCACATTTAATCTTCAGCGGTAGCAAGTCTGCCAGTAAGTGTGGTCACCTTCTCCCTCAAAACTGCTAAGTCCGTTTGGAACCCTGCCTGTATTTCATGAAGTAGGGCCTTAATACCTGCCTTAGCTGAGGGGGAAGGACCACAGGGGCCCTTGGGTAACAGTAGCTACCTTTGGGTGGATAGCTGTTCCAACAGGCTTTCCTCATCAGAGGAAGCCAAAGTAGAGGTCTCCGCCGGCCCATCTTTGCTAGTTTGGGCCTAGCAGACTGGCGCAAGAATGTCTCGATATCTCAAGTTCCAGGACTCAGATTGGCCCAATGTTTTTTTGAGTGTTTCCCCATCAGCATCAGGGTAGGTACGTCCGCAATCAGGGCACTTAAGGTGGGTTATTCAGGTCGGTAAACACTAACTTGTAGCTGGTTTCTCTGGAGTTCCTGCTTCGTGCCTCCGACTCGTGAGGCTGCTGGCTCCACCCTCTGTATGGGATTATTTACTTAGTGGTTTTCATTATTATGATTATTATTATTTTTTGCATTTATACGGCACTGTGACGGAGCTCCAGTACTCCAACCGAGTGCCTCCACCAAGTCTGCTTCGTCGTAGCTATTCAGGGACCCTGGAGCACTTCTGACCCAGTCGCTGAGGCCTGACTGGGATCACTGAGGGCCTTTTCCAGCCCGGACCTGGCTACTGTGTATATAGCCCTGGACACACTTTCCAACAGGAAATTTCCCCAAACACCAGATGACACTTGTGAAGGTTAATACAGCAACTTACTTTAATTGACATAGTACACATATTGTAAGCCCCCAACAAACTCATTTACATACAATAGGTTGATATGAGCACTATAGTACAAGGAAGGATGGGGTCAGACAATAGCAAGGGCTGATGGGAGAGTGAGGAGTGACAGACATCTAGTTCAAACTGGTCTGGCTGTGTCCCTGGGACAACGCCCTGCTGGGAAAACAATAGGACAGGAAATGGGGGAGGGGTAGAGGCACAGGTAAGCAATACATTCAACATACACTGCACCAATAATGGGCAATGGGTGACCAAAACACAAGAAGAACCAGGGGACCCACACTACCGTCACATATCTTCCCCTCCAAAGGTAGACTAACGAGGTACCAGACCTCCAATCAGTCTGTGCCTTAGTTAGTCGGGTAACAAGTCCCAAAAAGTCTGTCCATCCTGACAGCCTCCTCGACAAAGTTCTACATAGTTTGTAAGTTTGTCCCGGTTGGGTGCATGGAGCCCTAATAACCAATCCATCAGTGGAAGTCTGTTTTGGGCAGGCCAGACTGGGCTTCCTGGCAGGGGCGGGCTGGGCCGGGGGGCAGGAAGGCAATTGCCCCCCAGGCCGCCCTAAATTCTGTTGGGACCGGCCGCTGCAGGGCCGGCCCTTTAAATGCTGCAGCCGCCTGAGCGCTCTGTTAAGAGCCTCAGGCGGCTGCGGCTGCTCCTCCCTTGCCCTCCCCTGTAGCGTGGCCGAGCTGCTCTGCCCGGCCGGAGTGATAGGAAGGCGCACGCTGAGTGTGCACTTCCTGTCAGTCCGGCCGGTTACAGGAAACAGAAATTCCAGTTCTGCGTGGAGTTTCTGTTTCCTGTAACCGGCCGGACTGACAGGAAGTGCAC